ACGGCAAATTTTTTTAAGATTGGTTTTCGTAGTTGTACCCCGGACGAGGCTGCAATAACTTACGCGGGGAAAAACTAACGTATTATTAGCAATTATTTTATCTGCAATTGGAAAGGTTGAGCTGTGGCATTAAGTCAAATCGACAACACGTGACAATTTTAAAACCAAATTAATATGACTGTTTCATGATATAATAACAGAAAAAGCTTACAGAGCGTTTCAAAATTATTTACAATTTTTATAGGACTTGAATTAAATACGATCTGTAGGGTATTATACTTGTTTATTTTTAGGGCGAAAAATAATGGACTTTGTTTTATCAGTGTTAATGCGTAGTCCGTTATCCCTTGTCCATGTCCCTAACCTCAATCAAATAATAATAACAGCATCTACAAGTTCATCGCTGTTCGAGGAGGAAAAAATATGGTGGTGACATAAGCGTATATTCCAAATGTAGCAATAGGGTCCACATTCAACGTATCGTTGATGAGTAGGTTAAAAAGAAGGGGCCCTAATATGCTTCCCTGTGGAACACCTGAACATAAAAGTTTCTGATCAGATGAATTTCCAGATATATTAACAAATTGAAAGCGGTGATTCAAATATAAATTAAGGAGTCATAAAGGTAGACATGGAAAACCATAGTAATCGAGCTTACTAAGTAGAATGTTATATTCGACGAAGTATGCTACACACACCCTCCCCTCCTAGGTGGGAGGCAAAGCGCTAACTGCACACCTCGGCCATGGGGGCAGGACCGATGGCTCAAATATACGCTCCGATGGAAAGCCGAAACCTAGAAACGCATCCAAATTAAGCGTTTTACCAAAACGTCGTATAATGCTGTTCGCAACTATTAAGTTATAGGGGCGCACTGGCGACTATCAAAATGGCTTTCGTCTGGATCATCGTCACAGAAGAGCAGTCCGAGACTGGACCTGCGATGCGTAAGTGATCCTAGTTTTGCTATACACGAGCAGTATTAGAGCCTTACTTTATTTTTTCACGTCAGGAAGGCGTAGGCAAGCACCTTTATTGTGAAGTCGATCATTCAGGAGCTAGGGAGCGCGATTCTTACACCGCTGTACGAGCATCGCTGAAAGTTACGAATACGAGCTGGGAACCAAATGTTCCGGGAATAGTTTTGTAGCGTAAAAAGAGAGGTTAGCACGGCGAAGCGCACGCAGCTGTTGAAGGCAGGGATCTTCGTAAGTTATCGTGCCAAAGGGTGTTGTTCTGAGAACATTCTTGGCTGTGCTACACAAGTTCTTTGTGATCGCATGCACAAGCACGCCTGCAATTTCACCATTGATTGCGATGAGAAGGAAGAGCGAGCATCGATTCTCCGTCAAATTTAATAAATATAGAACAGAGGCCTTTCAGTTGACTCAGCTTGCTTGAAGAAAAAACGGCGAGTCGCGCGAAGCGTTTTGAGTGACCCTCGAGCTTGAAGAACGACAGGACATCAATGGAAGACGAAGAGAGGTCAAGCAAGGTCGCCCTACTATCTTAGTCTTTCTTTGATGTCCAGCCGTTCTTAGAGGTCCCTACCTTCAACAGCTACGCGCGCATCACCGTTCTGCCCTTTCTTTTTACGCTACAAAACTATTCCCGGAACTTCTGGGTCGCGCCTCGTATTTCCAAAATGAGTTGATTCAGTGATCTCGATCATGCTAAAAACCATTACACTTAAAACGACATCTGTGAATTCAATAACTAAAAAGGTAATTACTAGAATATAAATATTAAACGAATTTTACGGATGGTTACTAATATCTCCAAATGGGCTCTTCGGCAGAACATTTTTTAGTGGGACGCGTACTTTTCGGCGGAACAATTTGGCTCACGTTTTGTAAAGCACCCTGCAAATTATGCACTACGTCTTCTACTACTCTTACCACGTGCCGATATTCTTCGTAAAGTATTGTACATGCCCGCCACCATGCCCGTTGTATATATATATATATATATATATATATATATAAGGTTTGCAACTAAGGTTCATTTCCAAATTTTATGAACCTACCTCAATTTATTACTTATAATGTTACCCCCCATCGGGTTTATATTCTCACACCTCTTTTTTATTTTTTTTCAAGGCGCTTCTAATGGAATTGATGGTATGCTCGACACACGATCGACACCTCCGGTCAAATTCGTGAACATACATAGTGCACACGACAAATTAATTCAAATGCATTGCAACGACACTTAAAAAAAGGCGAATGGATACATGAACATTTGAACGAGATTAGTCTCTCTTGCGCACTAACTTTGGTTTTCGGAAAAAAGTCTGGTCTTCTAAATGGCACTACAGGTAACGTCGTCCACTCATTGCTGAGGTCCTGATATCTGCGGCATTGTCAACTTATTTTGTGTGCAGTTCGAAACCAACCGGTTTAACATCGTGCGTCGTGCGTACGTTTCCCGTGTGACCCCGAATATTTGGCAACTGTAGTTTGTTGCAGGTTAAAAATGGCAATACAATCTCCTCCTAGAAAACCCTCCATGTTTTCAACTTTTGCAAAGCAAACGCTAGAGACGAAGCGAGTGGACAGGAGGAAATCACCAATCATAGCGAGCAGAGAGCTTTGGGAAGGGGAATGTCACGCTATTCTTAACTTGCAACAGACCACTGACCTCTGCGGAAATCACAACCGCAAATTCGGGTTCGAGAAAAAAAAATGCACCGTCAAAGTAAATAACTGCGTCATGAAGGTTTCCAGGCTCGTCAAATCTGCAAAGGCCCTCAGAATAAGGTATCAGGTAATTGTAAAACAACAAACGGCGCTCCAGCCGCACATAAAAAAAGGGTTCAACGGCAGCTCCTTGTGAGGACAGCCATTTAATGATCACCGTGTTACACAATTAGGTTATTTTAAAAGCTAGGTTGCGATTTCTAAGAGGTGAACTTTCCTCTCCACTTTTCGCACAAAAATTGCTTCAACGGGTAGCTTCGTTGGTCATGTAACAGCCCATTCCCCTTTTAACGATTAAGTACCGGTGACATGGTTTCAATGTTAGGATGAGGGCTGGTTTATTCACTTCTGTTTGACTGTGACCGGCTACGTTACAACGGCTGGTGAGTGTTCACGACGAGAAAGTACACTGAGACCACACCGGCAGACTTGTGCTATCCATCAATCAGGCCTGGAACACCTCCCATCTGCGTATAACAAGACTGAAGCATTGCAGATTTTAGAGACGAAGTCTATGCACCATCTACAAGAAATTGTCGCAATTATAACATCGTCAGAATTGTTTTGAGCCCACGTTAAAATACTGACGCGTGAGAAAAAAAAAGTAGGACATTTACGGAGATTGAAAGGGTTTCGGGGTCATCCCATAGACGGCACCAGTGTGCCATCTCGTCGTAAGCAGTCACAAGCGGTTGTAACCCAATCGGTCGAGGCTCGTTCACACTCTTGCAACCGAGTACGGCCGAGAAAGACGAGACTTGTTTAAACGTCTTGAAATTTCTTAGGACGAGAAAACACACTGGCACGCTGGCGCCATCTATGTGGTGACCCTGGAACTGCATTTCCTAAGAGTGAAGGTTTTGCGGTATTTCCGAGGTCAAATGTGCGTAATACCTATAAGAAAGGCTCGTTTATAACGTTGTAAACAGTTTTTCGAGCCAAGAAAGAAAGGATATTGCGCGAGAGAAATAGAAAATTTGCCGGACCGCCAAGTTTACATTGCTACCCGATAGATGGCGCCAGTGTGTCCTCTCGTTGTAATAAGACGTCGCAAAAGTGTGAACGGGCCTTCACAGTCAAACGGAAAATCTGTGAACCAGGCTTCAGAAATAGATTGGATTTTCGTCTCCTTTCTGAAAGTCGGCGCTATGAACTAACTCAACCCTCTGACGTCGCCGCACTGCGGGGGCGCTGCTGTCGGCAGTGCGCATGCGCAGACGCTTCGCTTCACCGTAATCTGGTTTATGCGCATGCGTAATTCCCACATCTGATGCGGGGAATCGCTTACTTGCTTGTAAACAGTGTGTTGACCGATAGCCACTGACAGCTTAAGATAGGCAGGGTGTGACGAGTCGCAATGATCGTTTTGTCGCTCCGCAACGAATCCAATTGCGGCTTTATTTGATAAGAACGTCGATAGACAAATTTAAAAAGCAAGGGGCGTAAAAGCATTCAGCAGCACCCTGTTTTTCGTTTTGTTTTTTAAAGCTGGTTCACACAATTGCGACTGCTTACGACTTTCTGCCTTAAAGAGGCACTAAGCCACTTTCTTCGATAGTCTATTTATAGTCATAACTTAATTTATTGGCTCTAAGCTTCCTTAAAAAAACAAAACAAGAAACAATGCAATAATGCGTAGCCGATTTCTATTTTAAAATCGGTATCAAAAATCGATTTCCTCGCAACTATTGCTGACACCAGAAAGCGCCCTTACACAAGAAAGGGCAGGACTTTGCCCTTCCTTGCCAAATGGTGCCAGCTGGTGTCGATCATTGATACCGGCCTTAATGTAGAAATCGGCCGCGCAAAAATGTAATGTTTGCTTTTTAGGAAGCATAGAGCCCATGGATTAGGTTATGACCATAGACAGACTATCTCAGAAGTGGTCTCTTATAACTTAGGACCGCGCGCATTGATACCTTTTAAAATCTCTTACGACGATATAACATACCACAGCCCCACCTACCCGGTAGCTGTGCAACACTTGGTGGTCCCGTAGATTTCCTATTTCTTTTGCGGGTTATTTTTCTGGCTCTTAAACATTTGTTAATGTTATAAACAACCATTTCTCATTGGTAGTACATAAATCTGGTCTTGGAAATACCGCAGAACCTTCGTTCTTGTGACATGCACTTCCAGGGTTACCTCTTAGGCCAGCGTGCCGGTGTGTTCTCTCGTCGTAAGAGATCCCAAGAAGTCGGTCGTAAGCGAACGCAAGTGAGTAAATGGGACTTTCAGCTGTCAGTGAGTACAGCATCTGAATTGAAACCGATCCGACTCTTAATAGGATATCCAACTCACGAGTATCATCTGAGCGACGTCCTTCTGATTGCTGTCCCGCACGTTTTGCCCGTTGATCTCCAGGATCTGGTCCCCTTGCATAATTCTTCTTCCGTGGCGTGCTGCTATGCTCCCTGGTTGCTGAAGTTGACGAAACAATGCAAAGTGCTCTAACTAGGATGTTGACTTTCCGGTTCAAACCGAAAAAACACCGAAAAATATCCGTCAGTATGAAAACAAAAAATCGGCTGAAACTGAAACACGACAATCAATATTCTTTAATGTATAAAATTAAAAGAAGATCAATTTAAATTTAAAGACAACATTTCTTTTTACGTTTTTGGTCTAGGACGACTGTTTTTTTCGAAGCCCTCCTTTATTTTACTAAAGTTTCTAGGTTATATTAGTTTTGTTTAAGCGATAATCAACGTTTTCAGCGTCCGCCCAAAGCAGATCCTTCAAATATATCAATAGCTTAAAAGAAATCAACACCAAAAATCATCTGCCGATTTCCCCCTTCCACCGCAGCGGAAAATTAATGGAACCAACGCCGGAAAATTAATGGGATCTACGGCCTAACGGGATCTACGGTTTGTGATTATAGGTTAGTACCCCATCAATTATTAAGCACTGATATCACTGGACCTCGGTTGTCTATTGGTCTCTTGCGTTGCCCACGGGGCGCTGAGAACAAAGGACTTTTTAGGACTTGTTTTTGGTAGTGCAAACTCCTAGTCTGGAGTCTCAAACTGCCACAGATGTAGAAGCGTGCCTGCTCTGGTGCGGAACGCGATAACGAGAAAAATACAAAGTAACAAAAAAAAAATGCTAACTTAATCGGAGCACAGGTTAAAGCTAAGACGCTAAGGGCGTGATCTAAAAAACGCCGTATCACGCGTTCAAAAAGAAGAAGGACAAAAAAAAACAAAAACTACAACATTCATTCAAATGCTGGGACGTGAATTGTTTTCATGTTATCACCCGGAAATAAGGGACATTTTACAGCTCTAAAGAATAAAATTGCGAAAGAAGACGCTACAAGTAGTGCGAGGTCCAATAAGGTGAGCTTGCACAACCCAAAATGAGGGCGCCACAGTTTGTTCAAAGCTTTAACGCAGGAGGCCTATAAGGAGGGTGCCCAGCCTTCGGAAGCTTGTCATAAACCCCTCTTCTATGCTCGGTTTCACTTGAAGTCCGACCGCGCAGCTGATACTATTCTCTGATAAAGTGAATCATGCAGCGGCAAATGTGCCTCATCACGGCAATAAGGTTGATTGTGGTAAAATCCCTAGTTGCGGCGGGTTAGCGCTCTGTCCTTTCCCATTCTTCTTCCCAACCTTGTGATTGGGCTATTTTGCCTTATAGTAGGCACACCATCAATGCGCTCGTCGTCTTTCTGGGGATCGCTGTCACCGGCTAAGCTAATCACGCAGAGAAACAAAGCGCACGATCGCGGCGCATTCAGAGTGCGTGATTGGTTCAGTCGGTAACAACAAACGCACAAAAATGATGAACGCCGCCATGATGATGCATTTTTTGGCACTGACGGATTGGCTTCACTGAATTGTGACGTCGGGCTGTGGTCGGACTTAAAGTGAAACTAAGCACACGTTTAGTACAATAGATGTGAATTGGGAACTGATGTCGTAACCCTTAGTTTTTCGTCAACAAATCGAGTTGTCATCTAACGGGGTTTTGCGTGAGCTATAATGTAGGGAGTCTGCTGTGTGACAGGGGTTTGAAAACGTGTGCTTTGCTATTCTCGTCGGGACTAGGATGCTGATTTCGGAGAAAAATACAAACGTGGTCAAAAATGTTGCGCGTCTGGGTGCTCACACAGTATATATCTTCAGCGCAGTTTAAGGTTGTGCTCATTCCCGCCTGAAACGAAGTTGCTCGAGGCAAACAGCTAGACAAAACACATGTTCAACACTCTGTGGAACACTGTGTTCCAACACTACAGCATATTTGGCCCGCGTAAAATATCGCTGTACCTCCAAACGAATGTCTTTTTTTTTAAACTAATTTTAGATTATAGCATTTACAGTGAACACCGCACCGGTCAAAATAGCCAGGATTTGGGTTGCAATGACTGATATTCTGCTTACAAAATGGCAAAGAAATGGGGCACTTTGGAAGAAAAACTTGGGAGAAAAAATACTCACAATATAGGTTATGAAGACGCCACGACCATTGCTGCGATGAGATAACGCAAGTATAAAAATGTAAGTAAGTGTGGCAAATATTAAAATATGTAGACGTGAGACGAGATTGTACGGGTATAGGAGTACGGAGTGCGCACGAAATTTATTTACACAGAAGTAATTAAGACATGTTGCGTTTAAACGTCGGTGATGTTCTAAGTCAATTTGAGAAAAGAAATGAGTATAAAATAAAATTAATTTAATATATTTTAAAAATGTTTCTGAATGTGTCCTACGTTTCTTATTCAAGCATTATCGTAAAAAAAAGTAAAATAACCAAACGTACAACATTAAACCCCCGCGTTCTTATAAGCCTCGTCACATTGGCACCAATGAATGGCCTTCAAATTGGACTACACAAAGTGCCCAAATCGCGAGCAAATTCGCCGTTTACCTAAAGGCACTAAAGAATTGTAGAAACTTAGACGAGCTAGATAGGCATCTTTAAAAATTAAAAAAAAACAGTGCAAACATGACGAAGAAGCAGGACAAGATAACATACACAGACATCCCTCCGTCCTTTGTCTTGTTTATATATGTTTTTTAATTTTTAACAAAAACGGTAGGACCTGTGTTTTTTATGTTGTGAGTGACTAAAAGTAGATTTCAAGGCTTACATTAACATACGTCAATAGAAGCGCATGTTTTAAAGCATGTAATGGGCTTTTCAACACGACCCCCCAATGTCAAAAATTTTGTCCGTCCGTCCGTGCAATTTTCGTTAAATTTAGCGGGAAAAGTGGCGTTACGTGACGTCAGGTGATCTATACACTTTGGGGAAATTGACGGCACATGACCTATACGTCAAGTCAGTTTCCCCGCTATATTTAGCGGGAAAACTTACGTCTTGGTGATCCAGACGCCAACCCAGTTTTCCCGCTAAATTTAGCGGGAGATATCGACGTCACGTGACCTGTACAACTGTTTCTACGCTTAGCAGGAAAATATATGTCACGTGACACACCAGTTCTCTTACCCCACCCCTCTGCTCCCTTTTCTATCCTATTTTTTCCCCACCCCTCCCCTTCCAAGCTACACTTCCCAGATAGGTGATGTTGCTCCCAATGTGTTTGACAACATTTTATACACGAAAGGACTTTGAAGGTAAAGGTATCTGCCAATCCTTAACACCCTAATGACCAGCATTCCTGCATGTCACTAGTGAGTTCGGGAGCACAAAGCAGGTAAATTAAGACATAGCTTTGTCACACAGCCGTATGTTGCCGTTTCTTTCTTGTCTGGTGAAAAAAAAAAAAAAAAAAACTGTAATGTAACTGCTTCACGCACGACTGATTTGATACGATGTGGGAACTTACGTTCTCTGGATGAAGCTGATGCCCATTCGGTCCTTGATGCTCGATTTTCGCATTTCCACCGTTACAAACTTTGAAGGTTCTGCAGACAAAAGAGAACATATTTAAACTCATTATAGCGACTTGAACTTCATAATTTAGTATAAAAATGAAAATACAAACCAAAACAATTTTTTTTCCAAATTGTAAACAAAAAAAAGTATGAGAACAGGTGTCCACTAGTGAGGCCCGGCTTACTTTTCTATTGATGGACGAAGCACGTGTTGGTACGGGCCAAGATTAAAGAAGGAACAAACACGTAAGACAAAGGCAACGAAACCAGATTTTCCATGCGGCGAAAGCTTTATCTTCCTTCTCTTCTTTTTTTCTTAAGTAAAAATAAAGAAACTCTAACTCCAAATACTTTCTCACTTGAGTTTATGCGCATGAAAAAATATGGGGTATTTGAAAGTGAAGAACAAAAACTACTGTCTTATTATTAACAACATGTTTGCCATGTACAGTGATGGAACAGTTAAACGAGAAATCTCAAAATGGACAATCGCAAAGTAGAGGTTAGAGCTCGGTAAAATAAGTACTATAACTTAAAGCGAGGTGAGTTCTGGCGCAGTACGCCGAAGGTTGAAGCAAATACAGAAACAAGAAAGAATACGTAAAGTTTGACGTGAATTGTTTCAGCTTGGTTATCAAAATAAAATAAGAGAACAGCCTATAAATAGTTCTTTATGCAGTAAGAAAGTACATTATTTAGTATCGAGAACGTTTCACGCAAGACGAAACTTGCCTCTGCTCTACGCCTATTAGGATGTACTTAAAGTTTTAAGTGTGACCGAGTTAAAATCTAGACGAGAAAGTGGTGACCTAATATTTCTGTTCAAGTGCTCGCATGGGTATTATGACTGCTCAATTATCATATCTCACATCCAGATTAAGGTTTCTGTGAGACATTTTCGCTGCAATCACACATTCGCCATTAATTCCATCTATTGTATGTCCCGGCTGGTTCGCATTCAGAACTTCTTTATTAATCTTGACACACCGTTTTTGACATTATCAATGTTGAACTCTTGTAGTTTAAGAGGAGCATTACACTCTTGTTATAGTGTGTTATTGCTACGATTGTCCTTTTTGAGATTCAGTGCACTATCGTACTGCGCCTAAGGCTGCTGGTAGGCGCAATAAATAAATAAATAGTATAATATAACATATAATAGAGGTGAAGAGGGTCAGGCACGTTAGGAAATAAAGCGTCTGTATCACAGACGTTGAAATTCATAATTTTCAAATCAGAGTACGATTCTTTCAAATAATTCAACGTTAACTAACTGCTTTGTTCACTTCTTTTTGAAAAGTTGAGAGATCTGGAAACAATTAGGAACAATATAAAGCGCGCGCACACATACAAACACACACACTCACAAACAAACAAACAAACAAACAAACAAAAACAAAGGAAACTTTTTTTGCCTCTCGGCAAACTGTATCTTCTGTTTTGTCGTTCGTTTATCTCTTTCGTTCATCTATTCGACACTCTTCTTTTATTTACTCGTTATATTTTAGAATAACCTCGAGTTTGTGAATAGGAAGCTCATTATTACGAACTCCGAAGCTTTTAGGGGACAGTCACTTAGCACATCATCCAAGCAAAAACAGGACGCCCTGTGAAGAAATAACCAGCCGACTCACTTTCATTGGTGGTGAACAGCGTCTGTGGGTTCTCGCGTAGGACCATGAGCCGAACGGGCGACGGGGCTTCTCGTAGTGCGCGCACGGCGTCGGTCGAACACACGTCTCGCAGGGACAGTTCGTTCACCTGGAAACGGGTGAAAGAAGAAACAGAAATTGGCAGCGACCTTCAATTTCCACATTACTGCAATGCGTATGAAATGCACTATTACAATCGGAGTGAAGAACTTTGATTTTCATCAATTTCCCCTCAACATTAAGGAAGGTATCTGGATGCATAGGTGACGTGGAGTAAATTTCCCCTTCTAAATTTTGCAGCGAAACTAAATTGATACATGGCTCGCCTGACGTGAAGTTTGCAGCTAAATTTAGTTGGGAACTTGAGTCGGTGTATTCTCACGTGCAGTCTTGTCACGCGACGTCAATTTCCCTATAAATTTAGCGGGAAAACTGAATTGGTGAACAGGACACGTGATGTAAATTTCTCCGCAAACTTGTGCGGTGAAACTAAATTGGTGTATGGTCTTATGACGTCAGGTAAAGTAGCGTGAATTCTACCGCTAAATTTAGCGGGGAAAATAAACTGGTGTATAGGTCTCGTGACAAAGTTTTCCGCCGACTTTGGCGGCGAAACTTTATCGGTGTAGAGCACGTGACGTCAGGTCAGGTAACATTAACTGACGTCACGTGATCTGAACACCAATGAAGCTTAACTGCTATATTTAATCGGGGTATGCACGGACGGACGGACGGACAAAATTTCGCATTGGGGGTTTCGTTAGAAAGCATTTCACGATTTAATACGTTAATAAAATGTCAAAGAAAAAATGAAAAAAACTATAGACCAGCAGGTTGTTTGCAAACGTTTGCGGGTGCGCAGAAACCAGAGTCGCGTGAAACGTCAGCGCATGCGCCGACAGCAGCGCCACTGCAGCGTTGTGACAGTAGATCCGCGTGTTGGTGTATACGGAGCGCAAGTTCGCCGGCTTCTTGCACAGGGGTTGCAAGGACGTCAGAACTCGCTGAGCTCTGATTGGCTCTAATAGGAAGGATTGCGGGTAATGCTAGCTGTCTTGAGGTGTACCCACTATCCTTCCAATCGGAGCCAATCAGAGCTCGGCGTTCTGACGTCACCGTAACCCCCAGCGCAAGAAGCAGACGAACTTGCGCACCGTACAGTCAATGACAGCTTAACGAACGCCGGGCGTGGCGAGTACAGATCGTCGTATAATCGCTCTACAGCCTATACGATTGGAGCGTCAGCTGATAGAAACGCCAAAGACCGAATCACGAGGCGAGAACAGTGAATATAATAAGGCCATGCCCCGGGTTTCTTAAGTTGTCAAGCAACTACCGTATTTGCCCGAGTAATATAGCCGCGCGGTTTAAGAAGAACGCGATGAGCACGAGCGGACATTCCTTGTAAACTTGATAGTAAGTGCTTCCATAGGCTTCGTATAATTCCCGCTCAAACTTCAGGTAAGTACCACTCGTCAGAACTAGTGATTTCATCGTTCAGGAGAAGTGTGTTTCGGCGTCTCGCCGCAGCGGGGCGCCCGTTACATGACTCTTCTGTCATTCGTTGTTTGCCGCTCCACCTTCTCACTTTCGGCGGCCAAGTCTCCTGGCGATCTGCCAGGCTTTATCAGCATAGAGGAGGCTATGGTTTGGCCAATCGGGCAATGCTTTTGGTAGCGCAGTTCATGGGTACGAACCTTTTCCAGAATGTCAAATTGGAGTCGTAACGACTGGCTTTCTGTTACCTCGCTGATGTCCAGCCGCTAAAATGGTTAGTAACGAATTAACAATACATTTTTTTGACATAACGCTGTTGTGTATATAATACAATAACTTGTCTCGCTACCACAAGGATAAAGTGAAGCGTTACAAATGAGAAAAAGAGAAAGTGTTCAGTAATGGCTGCGTCCATGCACATCTGCTTAAAAGCGTTTATATGTCAAGAACAAAATCAGCGCCACCCTAGGAGCTCTTCTCAACAAGTAGGCCTTCATTTTGGTCACGACTCAACAGAAGGCACAATCGGCTAGTGAGAACTCCGAAAGAGCCTGCTACTATGGTTTTTGCTGACTTTAGAGAGAACTGGGCAAGGTCTACTGAAATCAGAAGCTGCTAGTTTGTATTGACCGTTTTATTCTGGATAGCGCCATTTTGAATGCTGTAGCACTATCTAGAGAGCATCAGGCTCTACAGCCCTGCTGGGTAGTTAGAAGCGTTGCCGAAAGTGGTCTTCGGGCGCCGCTCTCGTGTTGCGTGTGCTAGTTGGGTGCTCCTGTGTCCAGAGTTCTTGGTATCTGACTTGGGGCGCTTAGGCCCATCAGTAACCATAGCTCCTGAGTGATCTTCTATAGCACAAAACGTTGCCGATCTAGCGTATTGATTTGCTAATAAAGATTATTTTGGGGGTTCACAAGCATGTTTGAACCAAGTGTTACACTGGCTTAACGTAGTTCCTTCTTATTTTTTATATAATTAAACAGCACAACAATCGTACATTAAAATAACAGAAGACGCGCATTCAAAGAATGAACCTGTACGGCGCTCTAATGGTGTCGTGTTTGCTCCCCTAGAGAAAAAATGTATAATGTACATAAAATGTTCAAAGACGAAGTAAAATGATATTTGCGCTCTGACGTGACCTATGGGAAACATTTAATGGTGTGCAAGTTAAATGAATGAACCTATGCAGCAAGTAATGGTTAAGGAAAGCCATAGAAAATTATAAATTCTAGAAGATTGTTCGGATAACTCAAATTTTTATACCCGGTACTTGGTTAATACTAATGAGCCACTGATTTTAATTTGACTGGGACTGGCCATGGCTTCAGCCGCGGCGGGCCGCATCGTCAGAGAGAAGATGCCACGAACTTACAGCTAAGATGACGTCACCTTTCTTGAGTCTTCCGTCCTGGTACGCAACGCCATCTCGGTGCACTTCGCTCACGCAGATGGCTTCCTGCAGAATTAAAGCTGCCTCAGCCCCGGTTGGTACATTTGCCAAATCTCTGTAATCAGTGACAGCTTAAGAAACACAAGTCGTGGAGATTCCTGAGTGTTCTACTATCACTTTGCAGCCGATGAAATTCCTAGATTACTCGATCAAAACGTGGAGGAAAGAACAACAACGCAAGAAGAATCAACCTAATGAACCGCGCGCTGCATTTCTGCTGTCAGGGCCTAGAGTGCCGATGTTTCCTCGGTCAGATTGCTTGCATCTTCTTGATCGCGAACAATTGTGAGATTAAATGCTTGCACTGGGGCTTTGTTCTTCAAATTGTGGGCCACTAACTTGGTAGAATGCTATCACTCTAAAAAAAAAGTGGAGCGCCTGCTCTCCCGCGAGGCACTTGGAAGAGCCAATCACTGCAATCTACGAAGAGAGGCCTGAGAATGACAAAACTGATAATATGTTTTAATCTAAAAAAATAAAAAGAGTGTGCGGTGTGGCACCGTTCATGTCGTTTCACTTAAGTCCCTTGATACTTATTTTACAAGTAACGACAACCAATACAAACGACAAAGCACATACCGCTGGAACAAAATGGCGGCAGTCAGTTCAAACCTCTGCTGTGCGCCGCCATTCGCTTCCTGAAACCTGCACCGTCACGCAGTCGGCGCTTCAAAGATTGTCACTACTTGTAGGAAGCTCTTATCTATAGGGATTTTACGTTTCACCGTGTTCAGTGCCACAGCGCAGGTGGTCTTTTGGGGACTAAGCGCATTCGGGAGTTTTAGTGAGTCGTTCTGACTAAAGCCCCTCTTTCCTGGAAAAAGTGGCGCCCTTCAATGTTGTGGAAATGGTCGAGACACGCACCGCGCGCCACTTCTGGGAAGAACATGGCGTCTGAAATCTAGCTCAATGCTGCGCTGTGCCGCTATGATCTTCCAGCTGCCATATCGAGTGGCTCTAATCTTCCCAAGGGCTGGACGTTGCACGTGCCTCGTGCATCGTCGCACCTTGTGCTACTTTTAAGACATGAAGGGGCTTTAGTTCTAAAGCGAATAGTTCGTCCCGGAAGAAATCGTCGACGCCACTGCGTATGAGTGCGCAAATAGGTCGTGACTTCGAAACAAAATTGTTTTTGTGAGTCATTTCGAGGTGATCGATCCGTCCCCGAATGGGTTTGGGAAGTGTCTATCACAACTGTCATGATTTGGGGGATCGGTCGCCGAGTGGGCTAGCGCACACCAGCTCGGAGCACATGGAGCGAAAGCTCGCACCGCAGAACCCAGGATCCTGGGTTCAATCTCCACCCCTGCCAGTTTCGATCTGGATGAGCATCGTACCGGTGTGCGGTCGTGTATCACTACTGCGCGATGCACGTTAAAAACCCCAGGCTAGCGGTTGCACTACGCTGGCTAAATGTCTCATCTACGGATGACAGACTCGTCGCCTGTTGAGGCAGATCAAGTTCTAGGCTGTATAAATATACACATAACCCAAGGTTTTGTCATGATTTCCGGCACCCGAGAAGCGTGAACTAGGAAGACTAAAAACCTTTCAACATGGCTCATGGAGCAAGCTGAGGTTTGGCGAGTGCTGCAAGTCACATATCAAGGAGGTTCAGAAAGGCAGCTGCTGTTTCGTTTTAAAACGACTCGCCAATGCCCTGCTAGTTAAGAAAAATCGATCGAAAGGATTGAGTTCGAATGTCGTAGCTTACACGACAGCGTTTCAGACACCACGCGTTCCGTTGAACACGCCTGTTTCAGAGTTTCGCCAACTTAGACTGCAACACGAGGGTGTACGCAATGAACACCATCGAGCTCGGAAATCAATATATTCAACAATTATATTCTCTTCCAATCCTTGGCATATGGTTCTCGAAGTGCATGTTTGACGGTGTACGGCGTTTGTTCTCAGAGCTCGTAAATCGAAGCTGCTCGTTTTCTGGCGGATTCCACTGGGCGTCTTGGAGCGCGCCGGGATCAGTTGACCAGATCCGGACTGGAGCACACGATCCGAACGGGGTCGCGCCGCCTACGGATCCTCAGTGGAACATGATCACTGCTCCGGGATCGGCGAATGCCTTCCTGTCATTCAACTGACCGGAAATCCCCTTTCCGCGGCCGCCGTGGTCGTTTCGAAGACGTTTTCGCAACCGCGGAGCTAACACGTGTTCCACGCACGAGCGGCAGGAATCGCTTAGGAGCTTCTAGCAAAGATTGCCGGAATGCTCGTAGCGCGGCAAAACCTTCTCCTTCTTGGAAAACGAACCGGCTGTCGAGCCAAGGGGTAAGCAAGCGGCCATTACGAATTCTTCTGAGGCGAGATGGGCGAGATCAGGCGAGATGCCCCGCGAGAAAGGAAGTCACGTGTGTGCGCCGAGGGCTGGCCCGGCTGGCTTCCGGTTGAATGTGCCGAAATCGTCGGAGCGACTTTTCTTGGATCCAGATCGAGATCTGGAGCGGGAGCTAATCCAAAACGACCAGTGGAACACGTCCGTCTCGATCCAGATCGCCAGTGAAATAGGCTCGCTCCAGATAAGTTGATTCCGGCGCGCTCCAAAACGACCAGTGGAATTCCCCATTAGTTTGTCCAATACCTGCCGCCAGCGGTGGCTTTGCATAACTAAAGCTAAACCACAACAACAAGAAGAAACTAAGTAAGGGCCTTCAAAGCGGTAGTTTACGAGTTCCTTGCGTTCATTGCAATACACCGCCCGGGATCTTGGCTCCGTGATGACTGCCGAAATGCCCAACTGGACCGAGTAGAATCACTGGATCTCGGGAAAGTAGCACCATTGCCTTCCCTGCCTGCTAGCCGAACACAGAAAAAAAGACTAACATACAGACAACCAAAACCTCGCAAGGGGATTGTCTAATGACGAAATATGTATTGACACTGTGCACTGCAAGACATAAAAAAAGAAACACCGGGAAACGGGTATACAATAAGTCTCCGCTGCTATGGCAATCACCATTTCGGCCCCTTAAAACCTTCGAAGGTTTGAGAGGGTCGTTCGAATCCAATCTCACCAAGATCACCATGGAATATCATTGTACTGAAGGCGTTGCTCACCAAAACAGGCGTTTTTGCTCTGTGTATGCCAATCAACTTATCAATCACGCCCATCTCCACAGATCTCTTGCACTAACATTGTTCTCCTTGCGCATCTCAAGAATAGAAAATTATTTTTGACTGCATCCAAGCACCGACACCACGCATGGTGGTGGTACGAAGACGTAGGCTTGTTTCGCAGGTGTGTGGACAGCAAAATCACAACGATTTTGCTGTCCAAGAAACGTCTCAATAAAGGAAATTTAGATCGGCTCACCAAAAATGAAGAGGTCAAGAAGAAATTGCAGATTTCATGCGGCAAAATGGCGCTTCTTTCCCACGATCATTTACTTTAGGTGCGAGGTGGCCAAATGGAAGATGGCGAATCTTTTCCAGGAGAGCTTATGACGATGCGTCGCGAATCGTTCGTAGACCAAGATTTTGCTTCAAAACGATGTGCCAGCTTCTTCACTGGACTTCCTTGTGGTGTGCATTAGCACCGCCATGCTCAAGGACTTTTCTTCCTGACTCACGCGGCGCAAACCGTTACGTTTAGGTTGAACTGTCTCCGATTTCCCGCGCAATTTCCTCGAGCATGTGCAGTGTGTGTCGGTGAACCGTTCATGGACGAACCGTTCGCGCCAAAACGATTCACAAAACTCTTTATTATCAGTCCCATCATTCGCCGATCACCCTCCGTAGGTTGCAGCGATCGGCTTCTTCAAGAGCTTTGTGGAAAAGAAGACGCTCCAGATGGCCTTAGTGTATAGTGGCTGATTTGTTCTTCAGCTTGCTTATTTATTAAGGCCGTAATTGGAATGACCACGAAGTGAACTATAAATGCTCGGCGTCTTGTAACGCCCTCCATTCCTTAGGTTGTCAGTGAACAAAATGCTGAGAATATGTTGCTCAGATTGTGGGCGACCGGCCTGATGACTTTATGAGATAACGAGCACCACGGTCTCCTTTGTCAGGTTGCAAGCATCTCCGGCCGGCTAATTTGTCAGATTGCCATAGTGAAAACATTCGCCTCGTGAGATTTCGGGAGTTCCTTGCTGGTACCTTTGTCAGATTCCTAGTAGCGATATATCCTTCGTCCGATTGTGGAAATCATCCGTCAATAATCTTGTCAGGTTTCTGAGATTGTTAGGTGCGAGACTTTATGTTGTCAGACTGCGCGGTCACCCGTGCAGGCTCCGTCAGATTGGCCGGGTTTTGAAGTTGGCAATTGGGGTCCGGAAAAATTTTCGAAGGTTCCCTATACGAAGTGCAAGTTTTTCTGCTTCTTTAGAAGTGGTTGTTGTGTCGTCAGAACGCCGAGCTCTGATTGGCTCTCATTGAAGAATAGTGAGTACTTCTCAAAGCAAGCTGCCTTGAGGTCTACCCATTATACTTCAATCAGCGCTAATCAGATCTCGGTGTTCTGACGTTACTATAACCTTTGCAAAAGATAAAGACGAAATTTCGTGCCGCATTGCCACAATTATGGAGAGTAATACCCCCGTCAAACGTGCTAATTAAGTTCACTTCAACACAGTGCATTTCAACTTTAGCGTCATTTGCCTAATGTGCAGCACGGCTTTGTCTCGAAGAACACACTCGCCTTTAAGCGAGTTTGTTTCTTCTTTTTATCTTATTTATCTTCGCTTGTCATGATCGATCATAATCATCCAATGGGTGTAAGTATTGTCAATTTACGTAACGTTGTCTTGTAACGTGTCTTTATTAAAAAAACTGAATATACTGTGACAGGTAAGCCTTTACTGTAACACTCTAGGTGTACAATATAACTCTACCCCTCGTTCTTGTCATCATTTATGAGTGACACTAATTTACCCCGTGTTGCACCGAAACACTTGAAGTGACATTCGGTGAACTGAAGTGCACTTAGTTGAAGTGCACTAAATTAGCCAGTCTGACAGGGGTATAACCCAGGTTTGTTCCTTACGTTGAGTCATTCTTTTTTGTATCCTAAAATAACAGAGCTTACATGTTTTTAACATAGACAAAATACTTTTCATGAGCTTACACTATAATCTGACCGGCGAGATAGGTTTAGTAGGTTGTAGTGTGTCCATCATAGGAACGTGCTCTATGCGTTCCAAAATGTGATGCCTACAGCCACTGTTATACCGCTTATCATTGTACGAAAAACAGTCTGCAGACGTGTTCGAAGCAAACCCGCTTAATTCGAATATTTATGAAGCAAACCCGCTTAATTCGAATATTTGTGAAGCAAACCCGCTTAATTCGAATATCTGTGAAGCAAACCCGCTTAATTCGAATATCTGTGAAGCAAACACGCTTAATTCGAACATCTATGAAGCAAACCCGCTTAATTCGAATATCTATGAAGCAAACCCGCTTAATTCGAATATTTATGAAGCAACCCCGCTTCATTCGATTATCTGTGAAGCAAACCCGCTTAATTCGAATATCTGTGAAGCAAACCCGCTTAATTCGAATATCTGTGAAGCAAACCCGCTTAATCCGAATATCTGAGAAGCAAACCCGCTTAATTCGAATATTTATGAAGCAAACCCGCTTAATTCAAATATTTATGAAGCAAACCCGCTTAATTCGAATATTTATGAAGCAAACCCGCTTAATTCGAATATATGTGAAGCAACCCCGCTTAATTCGAATATCTGTGAAGCAAACCCGCTTAATTCGAATATCCATGAAGCAAACCCGCGTAATTCAAATATTTATGAAGCAAACCCACTTAATTCGAATATCTATGAAGCAAACCCGCTTAATTCGAACATCTATAAAGTAAACCCGCTTAATTGGAATATTTATGAAGCAAACCCGCTTAATTCGAATATCTATCAAGCAAACCCGCTTAATTCGAATATCTATGAAGCAAACCCGCTTAATTCGAACACCTATGAAGCAAACCCGCTTAATTCGAAAATCTGTGAAGCAAACCCGCTTAATTCAAATATTTATGAAGCAAACCCGCTTAATTCGAATATCTATGAAGCAAACGCGCTTAATTCGTGCCGCCAGTGAATACTTCCTATTAGCAGTATGAATGCTAATTTAGGTTTTTGGGTTTAATTTGAGAGCAGGCTTTGCGCTTGTCCAACAGACCGATCTCACAGCTGGTTGTATTACGCCACCGCTGCTGCCGTGCATCGTGAGAACTATAGCCTTCTTGCACGCGCGACAGCCGCGTTGAGTACCTGCGCAAGCAGAGCACTAGGTGGCAAGAGCTGTGTGGTGAGTTGGCACCGCTTAGTGAGATAGGTATATGTAAGGCATTCACTGGATGCTATATTTGAGGGCGATATTTAAAGCGCACGCTCAGAACGAGCTCACATAAATAGGCTGCTAAGACCGGCAATCTTGATGGTGTAAAATGCACGTTGCAAAGGAAGTGTGGAAGCTCGCCGTCACGCGATTAGCAGTCACGCACACAGTTATGGCCGCCAGTGAATGCTCCCGATTGCTATCGAAAATCTGTCGTATGGTCTATTACTTAATGTACTGCTTGTCTGCTCTAAAGCAAATGACTAATCGATAAAATTCGCGAACAATGCAACTAATGTTTGCACCGTATTTTGCTGTATTGTCGTTATTCCTAATCTATGACCAGACCCACTAAACACCAAATTATCATCAATAGTTTTATGATCTCTCAGAGGAGGTGACTTACCAAGTAAGTATCACTTCCGCCGGTGATACTTATTCCAAGCTCGTTCCGCTCCTTCCTGAGCACAATCGTCGTCTCCACAAAGTCCTGCACCGTGCTCAGAACTGCTGCGAGGACAAACACCAGCGTCAGAAATCGCGATCAAAATACCGCGCCACTAAGGTACTAGTTCCACTTGAGCGACAAGCAGCAACAACCGACACCGATCAACCTCGAGGTCGCGCAGCGTGCCGGCGATGTCATCTTTGGCAAGCTTGCAATATCTCGGTGATCGCAAAGTAAACATGAGTGATTGCAAACCTGCCAAACATACTTTCGCGGGCATGCTGCCCGCAAAGCATGGAAACCCTGCTGGCACAAGGCCTTCGACAAGGCTGCCCGCATGCTAAATCTTCACTGGCCGTCTCCACCGCGAGGCGGCCAAATGTAAACGGCCATGGAACAAAGCTCCACCATTGGTAAACGGCCGGCGCAAAAGCATGCATGGGGGCTTTTGGGTCGCGGCGTGGGATGATGACAAGCAATAATAGACTACGCGTTGTTGAACGTGCGTTGTGTCATTCTCCGAAGCGGGTAGCAACGAGGGAAACCCAACATCCTAAACAGGAAGTACCCTGAAGTAGGGCCTTCTTTCGGCGTACGTTCTGTCAGTTGGCAAACGACAAAAAGCAACATACGCCATAAGCCATAAGAACATCACTACGTGGCATCTGACAGCCCATTGGAAGTGCACTCGACCAGGATCGGATAGCTTTCCACCCTTTCATAGTTTACTTATATCGAAGTGCTCGCTTTGAGTGCCGCAAACCATGTCGGGGAAACGTGATCCTGCTTATTCAGACGTCTCCATCCGCCTCGGTGCGATCATTTGCTGCTGCCATGGCAGGCGAAGACATCTGTCCGAAGTATAGGAAAACGACGCAGAGGGACCTATGTAGTGGATCATCCGAAGGGATCTCCACACCATTAGGTATGACACATTCAATTCGCGCGCACAATCAAAGTAAAAAACACCTAAAAAAAGCTCAGGATCATGACGGATTTGCGGTGCGTGATTGGTTGTTTAACCGGTGATATGCAATACGACGAGCGCAGTGACAATACAATTAACGGCGAGTTGTTTTGGTGGCGCCCTCCTATGGTTCCACCTTGTGACGTCATTACCTTGCGAACAACAAGTTCGATGGTGTATGTAAATAGCATGGTGGAAGCCTGAAATCATTGTGCTCTCAAAGGAACACTGCCAACACCGTCGAAATTAAAGTTTTTTCATTCCTCTTATTTCCGTCGATGGCATACCCTTTCCGACGTCATAGTCAGCTTTTGGGCCAATCATGGAAGGCCGACCACAGCGACGCTTTCGGTCGCGCACGTCGCCAATTTAGGAGCTGATTGATTGGCTCGAACCAGTCGTAGCGTCGGCTACGGTTGGATTTAAAATAAAGCGGAATATAGAGCAGACAACTAAAGAAACGCGGTGCTTGACCTATTATGTAGGGTGTCCAAAGTCACCAGGCTCGATCTAAAATGGACCGTTAAAATGGATGCCTGCAGGCACACATTTTTCGTCAAAGATGTATTTCACAGGTCGGTTTTATCTTGTAAAATTACAAAGCGTAGCTCTCTTTCTGTAAAAAAATAAGGCCAAGAAACTTGGTAGGGTCAATGACGGGTGGCAATGCAGACGACGAAGTCGAGTAGTGGGGCCGGTTTTGCGCTCGTATTGATAGATGGCGCTACCTCTATCCAGACTGCTCGCGACCACAGTGGTTTATTAAAATGAACATAATAATCTTGTAATGTAACTTTGGTTAAAATATAAATCCGGACAATAAAAGCAAAACTTAAAGGAAAACAAAACGCGTTTGCATAACGACGGCGCTTTTGGTGTCAACGGATCTCGTCTGCTTGTCGTCTGCTTTCCTTCGCTGATCGGCTACATTTTCGGACACTGCTCCCGACGCCATCTATCAATACGCGCGCCAAACGAGCCCCACAACTCGACGCGGTCGTCTGCGCCGCCGTATGCCGTCGACCCTGGCAAGTTTTTTGGCGCTGTTTTCCAGAAAGGGAGCTGCGCTTTGTAACTTCACAAGAAAAACCGACCCGTGAAATACACCTTTGACGAAAAGTTACGATTGCTACATGCCGGCGTCAATTTTTGCAATCCCTTTTAGGTCGATCCTTGTGACTTGGGACACCCCATATATTAACGCTTATTTCTTCGCAATTACCGTATTTTCCGGACTATACTCCGGCACCTGAGCCTGGATCACAGGGGCAGATTTGGGGTCAGAAATAAAAGTTGTTGCTAAGATAGTCCGCGCACTCGTTGCATAGTGCACACGCCGTGCGTAGTCCGCACTTATAGTGCTCGGTCCTAACGTCAGGTATCATAACCTTAACAAAATGACTGCTGTATTAGCGCACAGAGAAATTTGAATCATACATAAATCAACATTAATATACTTCGTTATTTATAAAAGCATTCGCGTCTTGTCACAGTGCGCGATCTAGAAGAAAAAAAACAAAAAAAAAACAAACAAATCCTTGTATGGTGCGCACCTGTAGATGGTCAGCATTGGGTAAAATTTAAACTTTTAAACGTGTACCGTCCTTACACTATTTACCGGGAAATGCGGTACTCTTTTGGCATTCTTTGCGGCTAATGCTGCAGCCTGATTGGTGGTCGGGCGATAATGAGATGCTGAAGACTCACAACGCCCTGTGTTTATTAAGTTAAAAAAGGTTCATTAATTCGTTAGAGTGTTGAACGAGGCCACATCAGGTGGACAGACGTATCCCTGTCGGCAGTCGGTTAGTGCGTGCCATTTAGGACGACTGACTCCGGGCTATATTAAGATGATGAGTTGAGGTGCTATACTCAGGTCATTCGCTTGGTACGGACGTTTTTCGAACCCACAAGTTTTAATGTCCAAGAAGAAAACGTAAGCATGCGCACGAAGCGATTCACGTTCTCAGACGTGCTCGGGACGCGTACGATGTAATGCTTGTTTGTGTGGACTGTTCCTTAGCATTGGAGCAGCTTCTGCTGCTTTCAGTGAAAACTTAAAACGCTTGTATCAACGTCTTTCTGTGCTTTAGTAGTCACTGATCTTGCGATATACCGGGTGCGCGTGAGATCAAAAGTGCCCTGTCTTTTCCCGTCTTTCCTGTTTTTCGCAGAAAGCTCAAACTCCGTGAGAATATGACGCTATAGCGGTTGGGGTTGAACGCGGAAGTTTGAGAACATGACGTCCCCCGGATGAAAGGATAATTCAGAAAGACAACATTTCTTTCTGAACCGAGGTCCACTTAAGCCTAATATATTGTCAAAACAAGAACTGACACTGTGAACGTTTGTGGAATTTACAGGTGCAAACAGTCGGTAAGAAAAAAATATTAATTTCTTTCTTTCTAAAATATGTTACTGAAATAGAAGCTACAGTCGCTCACAATGCCATTTATTGTTTTGACATTATTGGGCTTAGGTGATAGCTTTTCACAAGGAAATGTCATTCTTCTCACTTATCTCTTGATTCAGAGAACGTCACGTTCTCAAACTTTCGCGTTCAATCCCAAACCGATAATTTATAAACCCAGTTCGAAAAAAAAAAACTGCAGGGAAAATTGTTTTACAATTTCGATGCTACGTGAAACGTTCTTACTTTAGTTCTAGTAACCTCCAGGCATGCCTTCTCGTGCTGAGCCTTCAGATGTCCCCACTCCTCTACACACATTGACTCCATCCGATTAACTCCACCCACTCCTCTCCACCCCTCTGGCTTTCACCAGGTGAATTTAGCGGGGAAACTGAATTTATGTACAGGTCACGGGCTATAAAGTCGCCTGACATCATTTTACACGCTAAGTGTAGCGGGGAAACTGAATTGGCGTTGAGGTTACGTGACGTCAATTTTCCTGCTAAGTTTAGCAGGAAAACTGAAGTAATATGTGACGTCACGGGCCACGGCTTCACGAAATGCGGCTTTTAGCGAAATTCGGGGCAATTATAGACAAAGAACGTTTTAGGCTTAAACACCAGTTCTTTTTTTTTTTTTTTTTTCAGAAACTCCCTGTTTTTCGATCTGCCGCAAGCTAGAATCACCTGCTGCTCACGCATCTCATTACTGCTGCGCAGTCAATGAGCCTGCGTCATTGGACAAAAAAATCTTCGACGAACCAGTCACCAAAAACCGAACAAAATAAGCCACGCCCCGTGTTCCTTAAGCTGTTGGCGACCATTGGAACATCTGTGAACACCTCACTTTTACATATAAGGTGAGAATCACGTGAAACACGCTTTTGCAACATCCGTATTATAGATGTAGGTATGCTTGTATGTGAATTTGTCCTGGCAGGTGTTTCACATGTATTTACACAAACAAATACACAGACTGAAAAAAAAGTATTAATAATATTACGTTAAATGTAGAAGAAAAAAAAAACACTTGCGCTAAATATAGCGGACACGTTTCCAGCGACAAGTCTAGAGGTGGTTAAACGCCCTATAACACTTTCTGAGTTAAAAAAAGAAAAAAAAAAGAGGAAATCGCCTCTGCTGAAAATGTCGAAATCGAGGGAGGAATTAATAAATTTGAGAACGTGACATACACGCAGGCTCTTAAAATCTGGGTGTGTATCCTTCCTTTCTTTTTTTTTTTCTTTTTTGTTCCTTCTTCTCGGGTTTTCAAAATGTTGAAAGTACACCAGTTCGCCTGAATCTTCTCTGCTATTTCTACCAAAAAAGTTTTTGATTTTGTCCGCAGCGGGTGACGCCCGGAATATCGCGACTAGCCGCTTTCTCTCGGGATTCTCGACACCTGTCACCGTCAGGCGCCTTCGGGTGAGCCGAGAGCAGACGAGACCCTCTTTGTCTGAACCGCTTCTGCGAATAGGAGCTCCGATGCGTGACGGGAAGCCATTGGCGTGCACACTACAACCGAAACAATAGCGCGAAGACCGAAAGCGAAAGCTAGGCACGAACGAAGTTTGACACCTGGCTTTTCCCAATGATGATCCGATCTTCCCGAGGGAAAAAGTCAGACGTATTTTCTTTTTTGGGGTCGAAGCCGTTATTAGGGAGGTTTTGCAGCTGATCTCCCACGGCAGAACAGGCGTCCTCCACATTTAGCACCGCTGCTGTTCTACTAGCTGCAGGATGGCGGCAAGCAACACGAAACTCCTATAGCGTCATCAGACTCGAATAGGAACAACATTTGAGGACGCTGTAAATACACGTTTGTCGGAGACGCCTTCCAGACAGCATAGTTTAAAGTAACACGTGCGAGAGAGATCGCGCATGTAGGGCAGAAGATGGACGGCGCGTACTCCGGGGCAGGAGGGCGTGCCTTGGCGAGAGCCTGTTGAGGTCGCATGGTGGCGCCGCCTCAATGGAGAGCAGCAGGGCCTCGTAGACGGAGTCAGCGTCCGCAAACTTGAGGCTCTCCGTGTCGGCCATGCTGCCGCGCCGGACGCACATTCGGCTGAGAAGGGAGGGAGAGCAGTAAGAACATCATAATAAAGCAGAAAGTTGGGACTCAAACCAGCTGATGCTGGTTGAACAAAATGACGGCAAAAACTAAGAGAGAGAACGCGAGAGAGAGGGAGAGAGAGCAGGAGGAGGAAACGCGAGCGCGTGGGTACGCTAGAAAGCCAAGCTCTCAACGGAATGATTAGAGGATAGAGGCCAAGCTAGAGGCCTTTCTCTTCCCTGCACATGTTCAACGCGTAAAAACGCGAAACGCCGGCGTCGGGCCCTTGGCGTCCGCGTTCTAAAGCGCGCGACGACCGCAGTGGAATAGCCTCCTATATACTCACAAAGCCTGGCAGGTCGTCACGAAAAGCGGCCGCCGAAATGGAAAAGATGGAGCGGCAGGCAACGAATAGGAGCCACGTGACTGGCGCCCCGCTGCGGCGAGACGCCGAAACTCACTTCTGCCGAGCTAACAAGTGTGTTTCGGGTTCTCGCCGCTGCAAAAGCAGTGCGCTGACGTCCAGGTTACCCGAGAAATGGCTCTTTGATGCTCTATGCTACCTGATCCTCGCGCTCCCATTCGGTGACCGGGCCCTCTATGGCTCCGTCGTCGAACTTCCAGGCTTTGTGAATATAGAGGAGGCTATGATTTAATTTACTCATATGTACGCTTCGAACATGGCTGCAGACTGTGTTCGCGTGACAAATGTGGCGTCATACAAGGAAGAAACACACCTCAGACAGTTTCTGCAGACTGTCTTTTGTATGATGTATTAGCAGCAGTGTGACCGCGACTTTAGAATTGCGATAGAAGGTTCATCCCCGGTAACGAAAGAGAAGTGAAATCAATACGTCACTCAATGCAAACGCACCGTTTTCTTTTTTGACGTTATGGAAAAAAGCAACATCTGTTAGCGCCCTTTTGTTACTAGATTGCTGCCTATAACTGCATCGCGACCATTAATGCCAGTCGCCATTGTCCCATTAAACCGCGATCAACACTCCTGATACATCGTACAAAAGATATTCTGTATACACTGTCTGAGGCGTGTTTAATTCCTCGTATGACGGTCAGCTTGGTCATATAAAAACTGACTGCCGACATGCTCGAAGTATACGTATATGTTAAGGAAACCTGATTCGGACTTGCTTGACTTGTGGGCGTTGGTAATTATGTCGTCATTTCTGCAGGAAACAGCGTGTTTTTTGTGCGATGGACTGAGCAGCTCAGTGACTTCAGCCGTTAAGCTGAGCAACTCTTTTTTATTCTTTTTTTATTTCCAGCAACTGCATCTGATCTACAAAGTCTGATTGGCAGAAGATATCCCAAAATGATCAAACAAATAATAGACGAAAAGAAAAGACAGAACCGAGATTTTTTTTTATGGCGTTTTCGTGTCCCCTTTCATTTCATTTTGATGTTCTATTTTTTATTTGGTTTCACATCTCGTCATTCCTATAAATTTATCATTCATATAAATTAGTCATTCCTATAAATTTTGCAAAGTTTTTATATGGCGCTTTGAAGAGCTCTCTGCAGCAATTTGAGAGGTATACGGTCGCCAGCGCGCAGCTTTAAACTGCAGCTCTGCATTTCGCTTTGCAATTGGATAGAAAAAAAAAAGAACATTTACCGCGGTTTTTCCATGTAACAAAACTCAAATAGACCAATATCACCCCCAGTTTGGGCACGCCATTGCTGACGCAGTGCATCTAGGGAACTTGATTCTTTCTGCACATGCCACAAGCTCGCTGGAGCTCTGCGCGTGCAGATCACGAACAGTTTCGTGCTCTGCCAATCAGTGTTGTACGGAACGGCGCTCCAAGGAACGACGTTCCCGGAACGCGTTCCTTTTAGAAGGAACGAAGGAACGCCGCCGTTCCATTTTCCGTCAGTGGAACTGGAACGGGAACTCGTTACATTTTTGCTGGAACGGAAAAAGGAACGGCGTTCCCTTTTTTTCGTCCAGTGGGGTATTTTTTATTTTATTCCTAAGAAAAAAATTTTGAAAAGTATGAAAACAATATAATTACTAAGAGCAGGGTCTCTAACTTTTTTCTTACTTATCTTAAGGTCTATGTTGTTGGGTTTTCGCTTTGTAACAGTTGGGCGCAGGAGAGCTAGTGGACATTGATTCTTTTTTTTTTTTTTTTTTCAGCGCCCAAGACTGCGGTACAAAAAGCAAAACTTTTAGTCAATGGGAAAGTCATAAAAAGAAGGACGTCTCAAACTCAGCTATTTTCTTTGATTACACAAATCCTCGTTCACCTAGTAATCTAAGGCCGACTACAGCCATCACTGAGCTTCCACTAAGAGACCTACAGTTACAACAAAAGAACATGTTACCAGACATAGAACGCACTCTTGTAACCCGAACATTGGTCACTTGAAAGATACACGAAAACTTACCTTTATTCTCTCTCCCCTAGTTTACCACCTTCTAATTGAAAGAACGAATTTAACCTTCAAAAAGAAAGACGTGTAGTTTTCACGATTGACCTTCTAAAAGTCCTACCATCTTCTTCACTTGCTCGTCTTGAGGAAAACAACATCGAGAAGCAACTGTTGTTAAGTTCGAACACGGGACTTTGTTAGATTGAAACGTGTGAGGTTGTTGTAAAACGATCGTGCAATGTGGGGTAGCAGTACATTTGGTTCGTCTGGATCGCCCCCCACAAACGTGAATATGGACATCAAGAAATTACACCTTGTTTCTGCTTGTTTTCTTCTCTTGGGGCCCTAATCTGGACACTTGGCGAAACAGTCTGCGAAAAATCCGGCGGCCGTGATTGGCCGACGCCACACTTGACCTTGGCGGCGGCCAATCATGGTCGCCTAATTTCTCGACGACTTTTTCGCCAAGTGTCCAGATTAGGTCTTCTAGTGTCCTTCCATCGCGGCATTCACATTTGTATGTTGCCATTTAGTGGGATAAAAACATAACTTTGACTTAATTACATATGATGATCAGCAAAATAAAAATGTAACGCGTATGTAACAATACGTTCCATTTTTCTAACTGTAACGGGAACGAGTTTCTTTTCCACAGATGAAACTTGTAACGGAAACGCGTTCCAAAAAACAAAAGGAACGAGGAACGAGGTTTTGTTCCTTTTTTTGAGGAACGTGTACAACACTGCTGCCAATTACCTCCTTTGAACTAAAGTTATGGCGGCTTCACGCACGCGCCGAACGCTTGGTGAGATCGGTCTATTACCCATAGCCCTAAACGCTTCTCAGAAAACAAATTAAAAACAAAAGTACCGCTTATTGCCTGTGGAGCCTTCAAAGATGCTGGTGTGAACCGCGAGGGCAGAGAAATTCCCTGACCATGGATTTTATACCAATTCGTTTTTTTCCGAATTCTGGTGATACGCAGAGCCTACTTGTTTAGTTTTCTTTTAAGCTGCACACAGTCTATGGAGGTTATGAACTTGTTTTTTCATCTACCCTCGTTGACATCTGGGTGCTGTTAATACCACGTTGCAGCACAAAACAAATATTAAAGGAAGCATTAGAAAAGTCGCCATATCAACGAGATACTTACCATGGAACGCAGCTTTCGCTGACCGTATTTACGTATATTCCGAGTAGGACTCGGAAATAAAGAAAAGGGCACACCACGTAAAATAAGCACGCGGCGAAGTAATGAAAGCAGACAATAAAAAGAAAGCTGTGGGAACGCATTGAAGAAAGAAAGGGAGCCAATACATCACGCTTTCACTTATGTCACTCGTCAGACTAAAAACACAAGGTGGCGCAAGTCACCAACCATTTAAATGGGTTCTGCCGCATTCATCCATCTATCCACTCGTTTCTGTCTGAACTCTTTCTTTGTAGGGAAAGAATCGCTTTAGGCCCTCCTCTCAAACAACCCCGACGGATCTAAGGCAATGAATACTCCATCTTCGTCTGCCACGAGTCGACGTATCCACGAGTGGGCATTTATATTGGGGCCCCCGAGTCGCCTGTGTGGCAACTCGGGTTGCTCCCTAAGCTGACAACACGTTGGAAGCTACGTGCTCTTTGGACCAGTCAGGTGTCGATCTATCGCCTCGTGATCACGCTCCCCCGCATTTTCAAGCGCAGAGGGAGAGGTCAGGCAATACCACCTATACTCCCATTAACCCTCACGAACCGCAGTAAAAAAAAGTCCGGCTTCTCGTGGAGCATTACTGAATTACTCCTTTATGTGGTGAATTAAGTCATATATGCTGGTGAATTTTAGATTAGCTGCCGGTTGTTTTATCGAGACGTAAACGTTTATAACGACAAAAGCAGAGATTTTTCCTTCGACAAGCAAAACCTGTAAGAACTACTTTCTGCGGCGCAAGATTAATGCGCAAAACTTCCTATTGTTTTTGTTAATGTGACAACGAGTACAGAATAATACAAGCCTACGAACATCTTCCTCTTCCTCTATGATACGTCGCCACAGTGGGTGTCGCCAAGGTGGCAATCGAGCCCGATCCCCGACGCCGAGCGTTCTTCGACGCGTTGATTGGACACGAGTCACAGCCGAATGCTGACGTCACACTCGTGTCCAATCGGTGTCTTTGCGCTCGTTTTCACTGGGATGACATCAAAATTCAAGTGCACGCGCTATGATTTATTCTAGGTGGCGTTGGGTGAGGAAATGAAAGGGAGGTGGTTGATTGGCCATGGCGAGCGCGTAGCTTTCCTCGCACTGTCAGTTTAGGGCCGAAACCAAGTGGCCAAGTGGACGAGGCGACGCAAGATTAAGAGCGGGCCTGACACTGCCGGTCTGAAGAAGAACGAGGAATGTGCGCAATCTTTTACGAGTCGGGAATTAGGGACGAGGTCGCTGCGCCCTTGCGCAACGTGCAAAAAAAGAAAATGGTCAGCGGAGAAAAAAGAAAGAGAGAGAGAAAAAATCGAATTAAATGAAGAAACACGGGGCGAACCACGGAAAAAAGAAATTACACTGTTTGGTTTTATTGCGAAAATAAATTAGGCCACGAAG